GTCCCAGTAAAATTAGGGATGCTGGTGAAGTTTTAAATATTGGGTTTTTTCTTATGAAACTATCACAGCTGGATAGTGATTAACTCTTTGAGTCCCAAGGAACGCATCATAAGTTCATAGGTTCCTACCTAGAAGCCCAATGAACGCATGATGCGCCGATTTTATTATTTTCTTTACTACCCCCTGGGCCTGTGATGCTAAACCCCCTGGGACTCAAAGAGTTAAGGTACAGAGATACACTAAAGACTGTGGTTTGAAGTATTGAAACATCCAGCATACCGCCCATATTTGGCACCATCAGACTGTCCTTTGTTTGGCTCATTGAAAGAACATTTGACAGGTCAGAGATTTGCAGATGACGGGGAGGTGATGTTGGGGGCGCAGACTTCATTACTGACTACACCCAAATGCTTCTGCCTGTCAGGCATTCACAATCTCAGTGTTCGGTGGACTACAGGTGTTGCACGGCAGGCAGACTGTGTTGAGAAATAAGACACTGAACAGTTCTGTTCTGACTGCTTACTTGCCCTTACTTAACTCTTTGAGTCCCAGGGTGTTTAGCATCACAGGCCCAAGGAGGGTTTAGAGAGACGTAAAATCGGCGCATTATGCGTTCATTGGGCCTATAGGTAGGAGTCTATGTATGTATGATGCGTTCCTTGGGATTCAAAGAGTTAATGATAGTTGGTAGATTAGTGAAAAAATATTTGGAAGCTATGGAGATGTGGTTTTATAGATGAATGATGAGAATACCCTGGACAGATAAAAAGAGTAGTGAAGATGTCTGATGTCTTAAAAGAAACTGACTCATGAAGAGAATTGATTATCCACATCAGAAAGAGACAATTTACATTCTTTGTTTACATTCTTTAGTCATATGATGAGGAGTAGCAAACTGGAGTACATTGTGAAAGTAGGAAATTGTGAGGGGAAGAGAGGCAGATGGAGACCAAGAGTAAAGATGTTTGACATCTTAGAATGGAGGATCACCTTTATCAAAGTTGATTGAAAGTACCCGAGACAGAAGGTTGTGGATTGACATGACTACCAATGCCATACGGCATGAACTTTAAGAAGAAGAAGAATGACTTTCCCTTGTAAATATATATAGCTATATAAGCTGTGGTGTCCCCAGTGATATATTTTTAATGATGCGTTCTCTAACAGTGCTGACTTTACTATAGTGTTTTGAGATCATACCATTTTAATGTTGGGGAAAGACAGAATTGAGGATGTTTGCCAAGTTGAAAAAGAAGATAGAGCATGAAGGAGGTGCTGTGGCCAGTGCTGATTCTCCTGGAAGAACAGGTCACAGAGATTCTGGTAAGATATGTTTGTTTTTCTAGTGGTCCATGTTACAGTATATTTATGTCTTCCTATTCTGTCCTTTGGCTGACACCGTGGTGTAGTGGCTCAAGACTCAGCTGTGAATTGGAAGGTCATGGGTTCAAGTCCTGAAGGAGCCAGACTTTTCTCAGAAATGGCCATCGCTGCCAAGTTGACCCAGCCTCAAATGGGTAGCAGGCACAGTCCTGGGAAGTATAGGCAGCCTTTGTAATGTTGATCACATCACCTACCAAGTGCCGATTGGTCTGTAAAATATAGGTCTAGCCCTATATGCCCAATACACCTGAAGATGTAGAAAAGGGTCGTCACTTAAATCTGATTTATGTTCCAGACTAAAGAATAAACCCTTAACCAACTGCCACCTTGCAAGAGTTGTGGCAGTGCATTATCTAGATCAGGGCGCACAAACTGGCCCATGAGCCTAAACTGCAGTTTTTTGGGGCCAGGGAGGCTGGTTTAAAATTACTATATAATCTTGCCCTTGAGCTTACAAAACAGCAGAACACAAAAACATTTGTTCTTATGCAGAAAGTTATATATAGAATAGCTTCAGTGGGTGAGCATGTCTCCCCGGAGGTGTAGCTAGGGATCATAATCTTAGATTATCCCACAGAAATGTTGTGTTACAGGGCTAGATGCTTGCCTGATTTCCTGAATATCTTATCCTGTGTTAGTTTCAACACATGGGGATATTTATTTCACCTGGGCTCCTGTGTTGACTCAGCTTAAAAGGATAACCAGGAAATGTACTTAAAAATAAAGGTGGCTAGAACGATGCTGACCACATCTTCCATCAAATATCCTTAAGTCTTAAAAAAAAAATAAATTAAGTCTAGCATCCTAGCTGAGTACACCCCGGAGGTTAAAAATGCTCTTTACTTTTTGTCAGCCCTTTCACACTGTCAGAATCTGAAAAAATACAAGAAAAAACTTTTTTGCAAAATTTGTTTAAAAAGTGCATCCTTATAATTTCCTGAAACTCTACGAAACTAGAAGAAGAAAAAGAGATGTCTAGCAGTAAACTGACTCACAAAGAGAACTGATTGCCCACATTACAAAGACATTTTGAGTCGTGGGCAGTTTGTATAAATAATATATAAATAAATAATCTGAAGATGAAAGTTAATCTCTATAGACAAATTTTGTTTAAAAAGTGCATCTTTATAACTCCCTGAAACTCTACAAAACTAGAAGAAGAGAAAAAGAAGTCTTGCAGTAAACTGACTAACGAAGAGAACTCATTGCCCACATCAGAAAGAGACATTTTTAGTCATGGGCAGTTTGTATAAATAATTTATAAATAAATAATCTGAAGATAAAGTTATAAGAATGTTAGTATACAGTAAGAGTTGACCAATTGAGGGCTTCCTTTGAAGTCGGAGTGCATCTGCCTGAGAGGCAAGAAACTGACAGTTTGCATACAAAAAAGGGAGATCTGTAAAATGGATGTGCACGTAACACTAAGGTTCTGGAACTCAAGTCTGGAGGTGGGCGAACAACCAGAACTTTCCGCTAGAGTTGACAGCCGTTGAACCAAAGTAGAAGAAAAGTGAAAAGGACATAAGATGCACTTTGGGCAGAAAATTCATGATGGAGAAGAACTGGAGAGTCTGGCCGAATGATTAAAACACTAGGCTGTCATGGCGGGAGTTCAGTCCTTGGTAAGCGATGGAGGTTTTATTTTTTTGTCAGGGGCAAATTTCAGATCCCAGCCTTCACGGTTGATAGCAACTGCACTAGCCATGCAGCTTAAATCCTCAACCTAATGATGCCCCCCCCTTCAGTCCTACAGAACCAAATGTTAAATACAGACGATAAAAAAAGACAGTTTTTGTTTATGATAAGACCGACCTTCTGTTAATGAGGACCGACCGTGATGATAATATATGGATGTACTATTGTATGTCAGTAAATAATCGGATGATACACTGTGGCTAGATTATCAGTAAATTATTTGATAGTAACACTGAAGCTTTTGAAATGATGTATATGGAATATCATGGGCAAAGAAGTAAGGATTTCAAAAAAAAAAAACGATCACAAAAGTTGTTAAATTAGCTATGTTTATGAAACTATTTCCAAGATGGTTTCACACTGCTGTACTTTCCTATATTTCAGTGTCCAGTTTACCCCGGGCAGGCAGCATGCAGCATCTGGGTCCTTCCCCACCAGAGAGTGTCACAAGTGACATTGTTTCTGTAAGTGTATTGCTGTCATAATAATAATATTAATAATAATAATAATACTGATATTGATGTGAATAACAGGGATAGTATAATGAATTTTTGTATAATATACAACTTGAAAGGAATATGCCCGCGTTGGTTGGGACATGTCTTCCGCATGGAGGGCGGTCACATTGCAAAGGATCTCCTGTATAGTGAACTGGCAGCAGGGATAAGACATGCAGGAAGGCCAACGCTTCACTATAAGGATATATTCTAATGTCATGTGAGACACAAAAGATGTCAGCAATGACACAGACACTTGGGAGAGATCAGCTGCAGACCGACTCTTTTGGAGGCAGTTTGAAATAATCCTAACACAGCAAGATGTAGAGAGTAGACATCTGAGAGAAAACCTGCCTCAGAACGACTGAGTATCAGCGTTTTTATGTTGACTATGTGGCAGAAACATTGGAATTTACAGTCATAGCAGAGGCTGTTCCCACAACCAGCGGCACAACTCCATGGTCACCAGAGACTGATGTTCGCCTACAAACAACGCCACTTTCATTAAATGTTGGAAAGAAAGTAGTAAAATCTGATCTGTTCTGCTCCCTATGTGGGTTTAATGGCCCCATTTGGTCGGAGGAAAGAATAAGAAAAGAATAGACCCTGTTGCTCTTAGCAAAAGTGTTGTTAAAAGTGACGAAAGGACAGTTTGCTCAAATTATACCATTCTGAAAGGGGCAGATATTGCAGCCTAGCTGAAAGCCACAGTGTGCCAACCATTCTCATAGGGTGAATGCAGAATAAGAAGAATGTAATCTATTCTGCTGTCTGACATGTATTGGGGAATGTAAATTAATAAAGTAGGAAGAAATTGGAAGAAGTATGAATGCGGTTTTGAAACAGAGGTTGGAAGTGTTGTGGACTGTTAGAGTGGAACATCAAGCATAACTTTAAAGAAGAAACTTAGAACATTATACACAATCTGAAGAAAGAAACTTAGACTAAGAATATTAGGACAACTAATCTGAAGAAACAGAACATTAAAAGCAACTATAAGGGGAAAACAACATTATTTACAACTTAACAAAAAACAAAAAAACACATACACACTCAGTTTTAAGAAAGAAACATAGAACATATTACATAGGGATACATATAGAACATTATACACTTCTATGAGAAAGAAACCTAACATAATACACACCTATTAGGAAGAAATTAGATAGTGGGCGAGCTGAAGTTGAAAGGAGGCAGAGTGAGACCGAGAGAGAAGATGCTGAGGGAGCCCAAGAGAGGAGATGCTGGGCAGTTTGACATCATAGCATGGAAGTTCATCTTTGTCAGAGCTGATTGAAAGTACATGAGATAGAAGATATAGATATGACTACCAACGCCAAATGGCAAGGAATTTGAGAAGAAGAACAAAATTGCGAACAATAATGGTAACTGACACATTTCAGATGAATGATGTATCATCAGCCAAGGATGAGATGGCAGCACTACTACAGAGGAAGTCGGAGCAGTGCAAGAAGTTGGAGGGCAACATTAGTGGTAGGTGGTTGATGTCATCATCATTATCATATTTGTCATAATTATGAATGGTATGTTTACCGTTAAAATTAGTTACCTTTTATTGGTTGGGAACTAACCATTTAACCCCCAGAAAAGCTTTAGAGAACAAAAATGGGAAATGGGACATTAATCATCATCAAGTGCTTGCTGACTGGTGTGGGCGATTGTGCTTCTCCACAATCTCCGATCAGCAGGTGTGACATTATCAATGCTAAAAAGGCCACCCTTTTCCTCTAAATAACCCCCCCCCCCCCCCCCCCAATGTATTTATAATAAATATTATAATTTCTGGTCCTCCTAAACATTGCACAGGCACAAACAGAACCAATCCCATTAACTAACTAACTTTGAGACTGGCCACTGCAGCATTGCCGGTTTAGCAACCAGTCCCATTAACTAACTAACTTTGAGACTGGCCACTGCAGCATTGCCGGTTTAGCAACCAGTCCCATTAACTAACTAACTTTGAGACTGGTCACTTCAGCATTGCCGGTTTAGCAGCTTCCAGTGATTTGTAATGCATAGCAGTTCTGGACTGGGGTTTTTACATGGTCAAAAGGTTAATCATCATCCTCACTGTCGGCATCATGATTAGTTAGTTTATCGTCAACGTTAATTATCTATCAGTGGTTATGATCATAAGTACCATCACCAATATTCTTGATCACCTGGTACTTAATTATTCACCATTATCATCATTTGTGGAATTTTTACCATCATCATGGTTCATATCACATGGTGATTGGCAGTTCTTCCTCTTTTTATGTGAACTAGTCTTGTTCCAGACCATTAATTTTTGCGTGTACATCTGTTTTACACATCTGACTAATCTGTATGCAGACTGTTGGTTTCTCACCTATCAGGCAAGGCAGATGCACATTGTTTCAAGGAAGTGGACTCTCCCTCCCCCCTCCCCCCCTTCCCACGCCCTCCACAATGTGACCTCGAAACTCAGATGGGAAGATTTTGGTTGGTGATCATCATTAATTATAGAATGTTTACCATCATCAGCATTCTTCATTAGAGTCAGCTGTGTCTTCATTATGATGCTTCCACCCTTGTTATGATCATTATGCTTCCATCATTGTTATGATCATTATCAATGGTGTGTTATCAGCATCATGTGACATTTGCTGTAGGCGAGTGAGCATCAGTAGGTTTGCCTAGAGTGCTAGAATATTTAAGTCTTAAAGCTAAGTGGCAGTGTTCTTTACTGCTGTCATAATTGTTCATATTGCATGTAGAAAAATAAGAGAAATGACTGGGCAGCTACTAGTTTCAGCAGTTGTAAGACAGAGAAGATGGCTCCATATTGGACATTCTGAGAAGAAACAGCTAATCCCTAAACAGGCCCTGAAATGGGAAATTGAGGATACAAGGACGTCCAAGAGAAACCCTTAAGTCAACGTTGATGAGAGAGGCCAAAGCTACTGGACTGGACTCCATCTATGGTAACCAAATGATTGCACAGGATAATACCGTATGGAAAAATAGACTGCAAGCCTAAGTAAGTGACAGGTAAAGGCCTAATTTGACAATGAATTAATGTAGACAGATAAGGATGTGGTGTCCACTAAGGAGCTGCATTGTTTGGTAACCGCTGAACTGATAATTTATCTCTGGTTTGTTTTCAGATTTGGCAGCTCTAATCAAGGACAAGAGTAAAACAATAGAGAAGTTGGAGATGGCACTGAAGCAGCAGGAGGACAGTAAGAACATGACACATGCAATCACATCACCACACACGTGTGCACACATCACACTCTCCCCCCTTTGTCTTCTTTCTCTTTCTTACTCACACACTTATTTATTCCATACTTCAGAGGTTCAGTGTAGCTAGCGTTGGCATTGTTTTGGTATTTTCTTCAGGGAATGCCGGTGTATTGGGAAAGGAACAGGCTGATAAATTGGCTGATTCTGTTCAACTTGGTGGTAAATTGATGTATGACAAGCTAAGGCATAAATAGATCATTATTGTCTGAAGAGAATGGTGCAGCGAGAAGTGACCAGGTGCTCATCACCCAGGGGAGGTGCAGTACGGGCATACGATCAGTCTGTAACTGGTACCATTAGAACTGGAACTGTGCTTGTTCCTGAACATAGAGACGGAGCCCTTATGGGATTGTCCTGAGTGCTGTGATATTGGTCCGCAACTCTTAACTGTTCTACACTATATTTAGAGTTGGTCCCAGAAACATGGGTCCGTAAACTGAAAAGTCTGACAGGAAACAGATGGTACAGCGAGTCCCCAACGCAGATATAGCTTTTCGACTTCGAACTGTGTGACTTACAGCCATCCATACTTCTGACCACACATACAATCATAAATAAAAATAGTAAATAAAGAAATATGACTACACTGAAAAGGTCAAAGTTTCTGGAATTGATGTGTAGAGTGCAGCTGCGTCCAGACATCAGAGTCTCTATAAACTTACTGCATAAGGCAGACTGTCTGGAACCACAGTTTGAATTAAAATACTGTTAAATAATATAAATTTGACTTACAACTAGTTTGACTTACAAGCTGTTAGTCTGAACAGAACTCGGTCGCAAGTTGAAGAGATCCTGCAATCTTGTAAGATTTCACCATCATCATCATCATCAAGTGCCTTTGCCAGCTGGCGTAGGCATTCATGCGCCTCCATAGATCTGTCTTTGGTGTTCTGGAGTCTGTTTCACTGATGATATTCCTACATGCTACTGTCTAAAGCCATCTACCATCATTTATCTTGCTCTGCTACAGGACTGATTGCATGCTGATTTGTTGTAGCTGCTGTTTCCATTGATAATAAACTGCAATTCTAGTGGTGGTCTGTTTGTGTTGGCACTTCTGATGACTGTCATACATTTAATGCGAGCGTATGCTATTAGCTTTGACAAGACTCACTGCAGTTTGTTTCAGTTATTTCACATTATGTGTAATTTTTGCAGCTACAGGAACCTTTCCTCCCCGTGTGGGTTCCAGGGCCCTATTTCGGGGTAGGAGATAGACCCATTTCTCTCCTAATAATCATTTTAAAAAAGTTGACTAATTGAGGGGTGTTTCCTTAAAATTCGGAGTACATCTGCTTGATAGGCATAGAATCAAGTCTGCTTACAGGTAAGCCAGATCTGTATAATGTATATGCACGCAAAACTTCAGTTCTGTAACAAGACTCAAGTGGAGAAGTGGTCGAATTACCAGAACTTTCTGCTGGAGTTTACAGCCGGTGAAGAGAGGAGACGGTTCTTCCTGTTCTGTTTTTAGGGCGTCCTTCCTATTCTGTTTTTAGAGTGTCCTTCCCGTTCTGTTTTAAGAGGGTCCTTCCCATTATGTTTTTAGAGCGTCCTTCCTGTTCTGTTTTTTAGAGCGTCCTTCTCTTTCTGTTTAAAAAAACCCCCACTATGTGTACATTTGTTGCAGGCTGTTGCTAACATGCTTTCGAAATGCTCTGCAGTTACCAACAGAAAATTACAGGAGCAGAAAGAAGAGTTTGAGAAATATAGGGACAAGCTTATCGAAGGCTACCAGAATGATAAACTGCAGCTGGAAAAGGTAAGACCGTTATTATGTCAGTTAATTAACATCATCTTCTCATTCCCATGTAGCAGGTCTTTTGCTGTCACTGTATTCACAGCCGCTGGACAATCTTATATATTGTCGTCATGCCACCTTTCTGTCTTTCCAGATGAATTATGAGTTAACTTATCTTCACCACATTCCAGGCACATCCATAAGTGTTAACTCTTTGAGTCCCAGGGGGTTTACCATCGGACACCCAAGGGGTAGTCAAGAGAGACGTTAAATCGGCGCATCATGCATTCATTGAACCTCTAGGTAGGAAACTATGAACGTGTGATGCGTTCCATGGGACTCGAAGAGTTAATAATCCCCCGTCAACATACACCTCATCGACCCACAGCCAATACTGTCAGTGTTCTGCTGGCTGACAAGACTTCTTGTATGCTCAGTATGCCTCTTATGTTTAGCTTTTCTGATGGTGTTTAGCCTGTGCATTGCTAAAGTGTGTCTTTTTTCTGACTTCTTTTGTACATTCGCCATTGTTGCTCACTATTGAGCCCAAATATTCCAGATCTGTGTCGCTTTGAATATTTTCATTATCAATTTTAGTTTGTGGTTGGTGTTCCGTTTTCTTTATGGACATTATTTTTGTTTTTGTTTTTTAAAATTTGGAAAAGATTATCTTTTTTTGCTGTACTTGATGTTCATAATCAATTTTTTTAAGTCCTGTACACTGTTGGAAAGCAGAATTGTGTCGTCTGCATATCTGAGTTCTAGGTAGGTTTTGCCTCTAATTGTGAGCTAATGTAAATATTTAGACGTTTCCACTAATTGCATTTCTCATAAAATTTCCAGCATATATATTGAGAAGGGATTAGGGAGAATTCAGCCCTGTCTTACTCCTCTCTGCACCTGAAACCAGTCCGATGTTTCACCAGCTGCTCTGACTGCTGCTTGTTTATGATAACAGATTCCATTAGGTGTACCAAATGTGTTGGGAAGCTTTAGTAATCAAAAGCCTATGAAGCATTATGGAGATCTATCTAAATCTATCTGTGGACATCTTATGGTTAATTGCGTATCCTTTACAGGACTTTGCAGAGCCAACCCCAACAGCCCCTGGCTGTTGTGTGGTTTTTCTAGGCAAATTTACGTCCAGTAGTTTGCCATTGCTTTCTGGACGGTCGGCTTTCTTGATACCACTGTCCAAACCAATGCAAGGCGCATGGCCCACAGCTGGGATCGAACCCGGCATTACGAAGCGTTCGCATCGACTTAGCCACAGAGCCGACAGACATCTTATACCCATCTGTAATTGCCCATTGAGGATGTCCTCAGGGACTCTATCATCCTCCATCCTCCAAGAGTATTCTAGCCATCTGAGCGCTCGAAGACAGATTGAGAAATCTGTTGTGATACCTATTCTTTGCTTTGTTCACCTTCATGCTGGTCAACTCCTGCCTCTTCTTCTAGTGTTCATCGACTGTAAACTCTGGCAGACAGATCTTACTCTTTACTCACTTCTGGTCTTTGTTCTAGTTCCAGATCTTGAGTTTTGCGTGGCATCTGTCTTACAGATCTGGCTTATTTTCATGCAGACTGTTGGTTTTTCGCCTGTCAGGCAAATGCATGCTGTATTTGAAAGAAACGCCCCTCATTTGCAGTTTACTTTGTGCTTGTTAGAGGCTTAGGCTTTGCGAATTGGCTTTTTAAGGCCAAGGTGGTGAGTTCAATCCAGGTTGCAGATGATTTGGCAGCAGACTGCCTTGCTTGGTCTGCATAACAGTGGTATTGAGATCTGACCATTCAGAACTGCTGAATGTAAAATTGCCTAGTGAAATCACAAACAGAAAAAAAAAGGAAAAAGAATGCTGGGTTTGATTCTGTTAAATCCTGTCAAGGGCATGCAACTTTTGTTAGGGGGCAATGACTCTGTTTATGTTTCCCTGAAAATAGGGCCCCTTAACACCCCATAGGGAGCTTGTTATTTCAAAACTACTGCATAATCATAACAAGTGAATGATTATTTTCATTTGTTAACAGAAACAAGTTTAATGTGTTTTACTAGCTTACTACTAAAAAAAAATAAATCAGCATCTGCACTTTAACCCTGTCATTACAAGAAGCACATCCATATCATTCCAAGAAGCCACACATCCATGTCATTCCAAGAAGCCACACATCCATGTCATTCTAAGAAGCCACACATCCATGTCATTCTAAGAAGCCACACATCCATGTCATTTCAAGCAACCACACATCTATGTCATTCCAAGAAGCCACACATCCATGTCATTCCAAGAAGCCACACATCAATGTCATTCCAAGAAGCCACACACCCATGTCATTCCAAGAAGCCACACATCCATGTAATTCTAAGAAGCCACACATCCATATCATTCTAAGAAGCCACACATCTATATCATTCTAAGAAGCCACACATCCATATCATTCTAAGAAGCCACACATCCATGTCATTCTAATAAGCCACACATCCATGTCATTCTAATAAGCCACACATCCATGTCATTCTAATAAGCCACACATACATGACATTCTAAAAAGCCACACATCCATGACATTCTAAGAAGCCACACATCCATGACATTCTAAGAAGCCACACATCCATGACATTCTAAGAAGCCACACATCCATATCATTCTAAGAAGCCACACATCTATATCATTCTAAGATGCCACACATCCATATCATTCTAAGAAGCCACACATCCATGTCATTCTAATAAGCCACACATCCATGTCATTCTAATAAGCCACACATCCATGACATTCTAAAAAGCCACACATCCATGACATTCTAAGAAGCCACACATCCATGACATTCTAAGAAGCCACACATCCATGACATTCTAAGAAGCCACACATCCATGTCATTTCAAGAAGCCACACATCCATGTCATTCTAAGAAGCCACACATCCATGTCATTCCAAGAAGCCACACATCCATGTCATTCCAAGAAGCTACATATCCATGTCATTCTAAGAAGCCACACATCCATGTCATTCTAAGAAGCCACACATCCATGTCATTCTAATAAGCCACACATCCATGTCATTCCAAGAAGCCACACATCCATGTCATTCCAAGAAGCTATATATCCATGTCATTCCAAGAAGCTACATATCCATGTCATTCCAAGAAGCCACCCATCCATGTCATTCTAATAAGCCACACATCCATGTCATTGCAAGAAGCCACACATCCATGTCATTGCAAGAAGCGACATATCCATGTCATTCCAAGAAGCCACACATCCATGTCATTCTAAGAAGCCACACATCCATGACATTCTAAAAAGCCACACATCCATGACATTCTAAGAAGCCACACATCCATGTTATTCCAAGAAGCAAAACATTCAGCTTGTCCCATCAGTGACGTATTCCTGTGAATGCAGCTTAAGCAGCATTTCCACTATGACCTGCCCCCGAAAAGCTTCAGTAATGGTATTGGATTCCATTTGCATCAGCAGTGTTTAGGAGTCCCAGATGTGCATATTTTCTGTAACAGATATACATGCAAAACTCAGGTCCTAGAACAAATCTAAAGTCCAGAAATGGCCAAACAACCAGGACTTTCTGCCAGAGTTCTCAGCTAGTGAAAGTAGACAAAACTAAAAAACAAAATAGCATTATGAGGAAGTTGGGTGGGTGGGGGGTGAGGTGGTGATTGTGTCTTTGTTTCAAAGCCATTTGATGTCATGATTTGCTTTTTGCTTGCAGCCTTAGTGTTAAAACTTAGACTAGGCTACGATGTGTTACCTAATAAATTTCTTCCAGGTCCCAGCGAATGTATTTATTTTAATGCTACACTCCATTGATCTTTATTGATATCTCCCCTAATCTGTTTAAAAAAAAAAAATGGATAAATAATTGTTTAAGCCAGTGATTCTCAAACTGTGCGAGGTGGCGCCTGTGAAGCACAAGGGTAGTTACCCATGTTTGCTCCGATCTACTTCTAACACAAGCCTGAGTCTGAAGAATCTCAGTGCAGTGCACAAACTCTGTAGCACTGGGGAGGATCCTGATATACTTTAAAAGTCTTTCCAGGGTGGGAAGGTTAGGACATTTACTGCACAAGACAAAACATCTGTGGATATGCTCGGTATACTGTGGTGTTGATTCTTAAATGAGTATTTAGTGCGATGAAGTTTCATAAGAGATGGTAATTTTCAGGAGAAAAATGAACTTCTTGCAAAGTTAGCAGTAGCAGAGGAGTATAGGAGTCGGTACTTCCAGCAGGAGGAAGAGACCGACGAGTATAAGGGTCTGGCCACACAGCAGTTGTCGAAAGTCAAACATCTGGTACTTTATATTGCATACTGTTTTGCTGGTTTCTTTAACTGGTGGTGGCTATGGGAGATTTTCTTTAGAGCTAAACTTTTTGGAATGTATTTTTTTTTTTAGTGGTGATGGTTGCACTTCAGGGATGGTTTTATTTTCTTTCTTACGGGTTTCTGGTCTGTCAGGAAAGATTTGAAACAGTCGTATGTCAAGGAAGATGGAAATAATCACATGTCCTAGAAGATTTGAAAATCACCTGTCAGGAAAGATTTGAATTGGTTACATGTCAGGAAAGATTTGAATTGGTTACATGTCAGGGAAGATTTGAAACAGTCGTATGTCAAGGAAGATGGAAATAGTCACATGTCTTAGAAGATTTGAAGTGGTTACATGTCTTAGAAGATTTGAAGTGGTTACATGTCAGGGAAGATTTGAAGTGGTTACATGTCAGGGAAGATTTGAAGTGGTTACATGTCAGGGAAGATTTAAAGTGGTTACATGTCAGGGAAGATTTGAAGTGGTTACATGTCAGGGAAGATTTGAAGTGGTTACATGTCAGGGAAGATTTAAAGTGGTTACATGTCAGGGAAGATTTAAAGTGGTTACATGTCAGGGAAGATTTAAAGTGGTTACATGTCAGGGAAGATTTGAAGTGGTTACATGTCAGGGAAGATTTGAAGTGGTTACATGTCAGGAAAGATTTGAAGTGGTTACATGTCAGGAAAGATTTGAAGTGGTTACATGTCAGGAAAGATTTGAAGTGGTTACATGTCAGTGAAGATTTGAAGTGGTTACATGTCAGGAAAGATTTGAAGTGGTTACATGTCAGGAAAGATTTGAAGTGGTTACATGTCAGGGAAGATTTGAAGTGGTTACATGTCAGGGAAGATTTGAAGTGGTTACATGTCAGGGAAGATTTAAAGTGGTTACATGTCAGGGAAGATTTGAAGTGGTTACATGTCAGGGAAGATTTGAAGTGGTTACATGTCAGGGAAGATTTGAAGTGGTTACATGTCAGGGAAGATTTGAAGTGGTTACATGTCAGGGAAGATTTAAAGTGGTTACATGTCAGGGAAGATTTAAAGTGGTTACATGTCAGGGAAGATTTGAAGTGGTTACATGTCAGGAAAGATTTGAAGTGGTTACATGTCAGGGAAGATTTGAATTGGTTACATGTCTGGAAAGATTTGAAGTGGTTACATGTCTTAAACAGTTTGCAATGATTACATGTTAGGGAAGATTTAAAGTAGTCACACATCTGGGATTGTTTAAAAATTTTTAATGAAGGTTTGAAATGATTGTAAAATTGAACATTTGAAATAGTTTTATTTTGAAGTTGTATTTGTATAGGGGACTGATATATTCTACAAGCAATGGCAAACTAGGGGAGGTTTCTTTTGAAGTGGGAGTGCATCTGCCTAAAGAGGAGAACCAGAAGTCTACATACAAATAAGTCAGCTCTGGAAAATGGATATGCCTGCAAAACTCAAATTCTGGAACATGATCAAAGTCCAGTAGGGGATGAACAACCATAACTTTCTGAAGTTTACAGCCGGTGAGTGCTAAGAGGAAGAACAAGAAGAAAATGAAATTAAGCATTAAAAAACTGGGGAGCATTTAAGTTGCACAATGTTTTTGTCTCTCAGTCTGCTGATGTTTGCATGATAGAGGATGTTGTACATTCTTGAAAACTTTCTGTTGGTCATAGCATGTCAGGGAATATTTGAGTTGATTTGTATTTCAAACTGCATGGTTACATTGCAGGAACGCAACAGGAGAATATAGTCTGGTGATGGTTGTAGTGTGTAGAATCTAGTGTTTGGACTTATTTATAAATATCAATACTTCTTGTCTGGGTATCTCATTATTATAAATTATTAAATCTAGAAGCGTTATTATTTATCAAACCTTAACTCTTTGAGTTCCAGCCAGGTTTACTTTAACTGATTGAATCATAAGAATTTTTTACCTTAACTAACAAATAATTGGGTCCGAAAGAATTAAAACAATGAAGCTGTAAGTGAAAAGAGTTGAATTAACAACTGGGGCAAAGTGGGTTAACAAAACAAGTGGACGGAGCACAAGAATGCATGAGAGGACTGCCATGGAAATAGAAATTTACTAACGAATGATGCGTTGCTGGATACTAAACCTGTTAGTAGTCTGTATTCTATCCTAAGGTGTCAGCGACTTTACAGAATCCCCCCCCCCCCCCCCCCGCCCCCCGTCTCTCTACTCTCCCTATCACTTCCTCCTTCCTTCCCTATTATACAAATGTGTACACTTTGAATATGTTCTGGGCCCCATTGTGGGGGGAAACAAGAAACAAGAATTAACTTATATAGAGCTTTCTTCGAAGGCAGAGGGCACCTGCCTGAGAGGCAGGAACCATTAGTCTGCATACAACTGAGTCAGATCTGTAAAACAGACGTACACACAACACTCAGGTTCTGAAATACTGTAACAGGACTAGTGTCCAGAAGTGAATGACCAAACAAAACTTTCCATCTGAGTTTACTGCTGGTACACACACCCATGCACGCGTGTGCACACACACACACACCACACACACACACACATTTATGAAGATTTGAATATGTCATATGAAGGACATTGAGAATCGGACTCGGGAGCAGATCTTGGTTTAAAAAAATAAATAAATTTAGAAACCATTTTTTTTTGCCGATTGCACAATGATGATTGGCAAATCTACACCCACTGTTGTGTTTGGGAATAATAAGTGATAAGGCCCCAATCGCGCCCAAAGTATAGCTCTTGCACTACTGTTCGAAAATTGTGAGTTTACAAAAAATAAAAAATAAAAATTAACTGTCTGCCATAGAAATCAAACTCTTGTACTTGAGGATAATGAAGTTATTAAAATGCATTCACCAACTTCTAAGCCACAGAGTCACTCACACTAGAAATATAAAAGTGGGTCAGAAATTTAACTTGGAGAGTATAGTTACAGAAAAGGGGAAGGTAATTCAGTGTGTGATTACAGCTGAAGGGTAATGTAGCAGATGTGAACTGATTTCTCTAGGGGAAGGTTATTCAGTCTACCATTACAGTTAATGGGTTTTGTAGCAGACGTGGACTAAATTATCTGGCACAGGCGGCCGTTTGTGCAGTATGTTACTGCTTGTCTGGTAACAGATGTTGGTGGCAGAAATTTTCAACGGGCAAGGGACCCATTGGTTTTGTAGTATATGTTTTTATTTATTGTGGGTCTGTATGTGTCGCAAGAAGTTGATCCAGTGATCAATGGCTAAAAATGCTTAACGAAAGGAGGCAGGAGAATCATCATCATCATCAGGTGCCTTGCCAACGCGTGGGCGATCATGCCTCTCCACAATCTGTGATCTCCTGCAGCATGTATCAGTTTGTGTGCCGACACACCTCCATGCTTTGCAACAAGACTGTCAAGAATCTTCTCTCGTTGTCTTCCTCTGTCCCTCCTTCCACAGATCTTTCAAGTGGTCACAACATTTTATATTTTCCCTCTTCTCATTACATGGCCGAAAAATGATGACTGTCTCCTTCTGATGTCTGTGACAGTCATAATTTTTCCTCCATATTATGAGAAGAGGCAAAATAGAACATGTTGTGACCACTGGAAAGATCTGCCGAAGGAGGGATTAAAGAAGACAACAAGAGAAGATTCTTGACAGGAGAATAACTGCATATAACAGACAAAACTATACTTCGGCCGCTTTCTTCAAAACATGGATTTGTCTGTTTTGTTCATGTTCTTTCCTTTCCTCCCTTTGTTAAGCCTTACAGTCGCAGTTAATTGGATTAATTTCTTGGTATTGGCTTGACTCCGGGTTCCGGGGCCCAATAGGGAAAACAAGAACAGACCCGCTGCCTCCCCAACAAGCATGTCCTAGGAGTCGACCAACTGTGGGCTTCTTTGAAGTCAGAGTGCATCTGCCCGAGCGGCAAGGAGCAGACACCAATTAGCTGCACACAAATATCCAGTAAAACAGATGTACACACAATACTCAGGCACTGGCACAGAGCCAAAGTCCAAGTGGACAAAGAACCAGGACTTTCTGCCGGAGCTTACAGCTGGTGAACAGAGCAGAGGAAGAACAAGCTCGACTGCGGTGACCCATGTTTTCACTACTCAATGTCCCAGTCATGGCCCTTTGGGGAGCTGTAGTGGCTAGATGCTCAGGTGCCAGCCTAAAGGTCTTGGGGTCGACTTCACATTGAGTAAAAATAATTTTTTTCAAAATGACTTTTGTTTCCCAGGTTGACACATCTTTTTTTAATTATTATTTTTTTTTTATAGTTGCTTATCCTTAACAGGCGGTTGCAGAACCAACTCCAGCAGCCCCTGGCTGTTGTGTGGTTTCTCTAGGCAAATTTATATCCAGTAGTTTGCCATTGCTTTCTGGATGGTCGGCCCCCTGATACCACTATTGAAACCAACGCAAGGCGCATGGCCCGCAGCTGGAATTGAACCCGGTACCCCGGCATTACGAAGCGTTCACATCGACTTAGCCACAGAGCCGACTTGACACAACTAATATAGTTCTAAAGCAATGTCCTGGGAAGTAAAGGCAGTCAATTGATGTTCATCACATCACCCATAGAGCGCTAATTGGTTGTTAAAATATAGGTCTAGCACTATGTGCCTGATGGGAGCTGCCATGGTGTAGTGGCTAGACACTCGCCTTTGGATCAGAATGTCGTGGATTTGGGTCTTGGCGGTGCCTGTTTTTTTTTCTTGACCAGAAATGACTTTGGCTCCTAGGTTGACCCCAACCTTAAATGTGTACCAGGTGGAGTCTAGGGAAGTAAAGGTGGCCGGCTTGATGCTGACCACATCACCACTGAGTGCCAACTGGTCTATAAATTGTCGGTCTAGCCCTATATGCCCAGTACACCTAAAGGCGTGGAAATGGTTCTTTTTCTGTGTTCCTGATGCAACCAAAGGCTCGAAAAGAGTATTTATACCTTGTTTTTGTTTTTGTTCTGTTGCTAAAGGAGTAAGGTTGGCTTTTGGTGACCCTGCAGGCTCATTTGGATGGAAGTTGATAGAACTGATATACATCCATTACTGCTGCACACAAACTAGAACACTCAGCAACACACCGACAGCCATAACTGTTAATGGTGCTTTGGTAGCTGTTATATGAGGGTGTTTATGATTATGGGTTAGGGACTGGGAGGACCAAGTCCTGGTATTTTTATGTGATGAGAAATTGATTTATACATAATCACATTCATATGTTATATACATGTGACACAGGCCAAGATATATGATTACTTACAGATGTGCATATATAGTTATAAGGCATAAGCAGATATCTTCTTCTACTGTTACTACTGTCTCTTTTTCTTTGTCATCTTCTCTTCCTCCTCCATTCTTCTTCTTCTTAAGCTGCTGCTTCTGCTACTTTGATCCTTCTTTCAGAAAATCAAAAAGCCAGAAGCCTTGACAAAAAGCTGCTATCATGCAGTGTGAATCTCCCTGTGTACCATAAAACATTGTCTTCATTGATGTTGTAGCAGGCCAGATGGCTCCTCTTTTAGCAGCCTACCGTTTGTAGTGTTAGGGCACATGCTCAGCATTTTCACATGTCAAATTGCAGGGATAATCAGTCAGACTTGCATATGTGCTTACTATATACTACATTCATGCACACACATGCATGCATGCGTGCATGTGCAAAAAAAAAAAACACACACACAAATAATGCCTAGAGGTTACCCTCAGCTTTAAATGGCCAGCAGCTGTGACCTTACACCCTGTCTTAACATATGTTTTGAAGTTAATGGCATCATCAGATGCACATGACAGTGTTAGCAGCATCCGCTTACCTTGACCTGTTGTTTTCTTTGCTCACACATCAGCTGATCAACACAGAGGCAGCTCTGGCGGACTGTCAGGCTGACCTAGAGGCCAAGACCAGGCAGTGCCATGCGGCTCAAGTCCAGGTGGAGAAACTGACGGACGAGCTGGTGCCACTTCGACAGAAGTTGACGGCGCTGGAGTCAGAAATGTATCTCTGTCACAAGTCTTTTGTCTCAAGTGTTTATGTCACCAATTGTTTTTGTGTATAATTGTCCTCATAATAATCATAATCATCATTTGACATGCCAATAAGCACACAGGCTATCAAGTTTTGATGTCTCATAAGATCACATGAATCTTGTCTGTGTTTTTGCCTGTCCTTATCCATGTGACCAGCAGTGGATTCCATATCCCCACTATGAGAGAAAGGAATAAAACCACTGCTGTTTAATAAGCATGTTGTAAGAATCAACTAATTGTGGGTGTTTCCTTTAAAGTCAGAGTGCATCTGCCTGAGAAGCCAGGAACCAACAGTCTGCATACATAAAAGCCAGATCTGAAAAACTAATGTGCACACAGAAGTCATGTTCTAGAGCAAGACCAAAGTCCAGAAGTGGTTGAACAACCAGAACTTTTTCCTGGGGTTTACAGCCAGTGAACCTAAGAAGAAGAAGTTCAATGTTGCCAAGCCATCCAGTTATTTATCTTTTGCCTTCCTCTCACTCTTTTTTCTATCAATTTTGCCATTTGTCACCAAATTTTCTAGTTCATTCCATCTTGTAATGTCCAAAACACATTCAGTGTCTACATCTATCTCAAAACAGACAAAAATATGCAGTCATAGTTTACGTCAGTGCTGTTCAACTAGGTTTACTAAGGGGGCCAGAATTTTCAAAATGGGGATTGCCACAGGCCAGAAATCCGAGCCCTAGCATAGAAAAATCATTAAAACAATACAGATGCCAATGTCCAGCGGGTCACTTGCCAGGCCTCGGCGGGCCAGATGTGGCCCGCGGGCCGTCAGTTGAAAAGCCATAGTTTACATGATGATATGTGTTCATGGCCAAATGCCTCACAGTTCAGGCTGTGAGATAAACTGCAGTTCTTCCTCAACTGCCCAGCATCACACTGTTTTGCACAGTTTGCTTCAAGAAATCCACTCTTGCAGCCCGTGACACAAGCGTTGGTATTCGGTCACACAGGAGTGGTTGCATTTTCTGTTACTTCACAGCTCTCGCTGCACGCTGATCTGAAGTCACTACTGAATGTTCTTGCATCACGATGTCTCGGACATTTGACACCATGAAAACCAGCAGGACAAATGGAGGTACACCAACCACTGGCTACAGTACAGGCCTCACTGTTAGGATAGTGACATTCTAGCTCATATCCATAGCGTTGGGCATCACAGTCTCGTTAAATTTCAACTTCGCTCGGTCTGCCTGAAAGAAACTCGGTCTCTGGCCAGCTCTCCTGCCTCGTGTACTTTTATATTCAGGGGTCACTTACATCCTGTGCATATTTTTGTGTTGATCGGCCTCTGCCCTCCTTCCTGGTGCCATACCTTCTGCTGTAATTTTATCCCGATCTGCTGTGCCGCTTGATGTGACCAAAATATTTCAGCTTCTAAGACAAGATGCTGTTTATTAGCAATCTTCCTTGATGTCGAGATATTTTAAAATGTCAGTATTTCTTCTCTTCTTTGTCTATGGTTTCCTGAGAATCTTTCTATAGCATTTCAGCTCAAAAGCCCCTGCTCTCTTTCTTAAGGACCGGGCGATAGTCTATGAATCACATCCGTACGTTGCTACAGGGAAGATGCATGCTCTCTTTTAATAGACTGTTATTGCTGTTTAACCTTTCATTGCTATTTCTATCCTCCTTTTGATTGATGTCAGCCTCCATTTGCTGTTTAGACGTTAAGGGAAATTAAAATTCTTTTTTTTTTAAACAGTTTTTAAATATTCAGTATTTGTTTTTCAGTAGTTTACAGTAATGGCATTCAGAAAATGCACTTATGTATAGTATTGGTTTACAGTGGGAAGCTGAAGGAAGAGAATATGGAGAGAGCAGAACTGGTCACCTCACTCAGTAGAGACAAAGCTGCATTCGACAGAAGGCTAGATGAGATGAACAGTGAAATGACTGAGGTGAGTTTGGGAGGTAGTTCCTCTCTCTTGTTGGAAATCAAGTCTTCCACATCATTGTCTTCCATGAAAGTAATATCATGCTGTTCCAAAATGATTTATGGAATAAGTAAAGTAAAGGACCCTTTCCACGCCTTTAGGCGTATAGGGAATATAGGGCTAGACCTATATTTTTATAGACCAACGGCACAAGATGGGTGATGTGGTCAGCATCACGCCGGCCGCCTCTACTTCCCGGGATTGCACCCGGTACCCACTCAAGGCTGGGTCGACCTGTGAGTCAAGGTCATTTTTGAAGAAAAGTCCGTCTCCGCCAGGGAGCGAACCCACGACCTTCCGATCCGCGGCGAGCATCTAGGATTTATGGAACGGTAATTTATTAATCATCCTGCATGATCTAAGCATCGAGGAGCATTGACTCATAAACAGCATCCTGTGTGAAAGCCGAGGTGCTTTCGACATGTTAAACGTCATAAAGGCTTGGAGAGAATGGCGATGGAGGGTACATTGTCTGGAAGATGAGGCCGAAACAGACCTCCACAAAATGACGCAAGGCAGACCTCAGCGAATGTGGATAGAAGACATTGAACGTGCATTAGCCATGCAGGCACATAGGACTAGAGAACTGGCTAGAGAAAGAGAGACTCTTAGGTGTGCTGTGGAGAGAGTGATTTGCTTTATTAATATCCTACCCCAAACAGGGAAAATCAACAGGTCACGGGACAGTCTAGTATTTCAGTGGGTGGTGGCTAGGCTGCATGCAGTCATGGGACCTAGGTTGCACTCTCTCGTTGGATCTAGGCTGCATTCTCTCCTGGGACGTAGATGGGTTGGGGTTAGGGCCAGTTCTAGATGTTTTGGGGTCGTTAAAAGTACCAGAAAGCCGGGAAACCCAGTCTTGCCACCCTCTAAAATGTTGGACTGTCCTGTGATGTCATCTGGGGTGGGATGATAATAAAGCATAGAAAGTGACATTCTGTATTGAGCCTGCTGATTGATGCCAGTGATGAGTTGATTAGTTCATAGGTTATCCTCGCTGCACATTGAACCCTTCAGTCCACGAATGCTTGGATCCTTTCCTCAGTGCATCCTTTATCATCTAATGACTGGCCACCCCAGCACTGTTTTGATTTGCTGTTCTGCTTTGGCCTCATGTTTAATACTGTTGTCTGGTTTCACTCTTTTTGATTGACTTGATCAGTCCTAGCCAAACAGCAGATATTATGGAGATCTGAAAAGACTTCATGTAAAGCTAAGCTACGACGGCTCAGAGTATTAGTTATTAGTGCGTTTACATATGGCTGTGAAACGTGGACCTTAACTGTTAAACTTGAAACAAAAATTACAAGCATGAGAAATGCGATCTTTCAGCACAATTCTTGGCATATCATACAGAAACCCCATTACTAACGAAGAGGTTCGCCATATAACTACCCAGCATACCGGCAACTATAGAGCTCTTTAAACTACAGTGAAAAGGATGAAAATGCAATGGTACGGACATATAATAAAATCCGATGGTCTCTCTAAAAATACCCACTACTACAGGGTTGAATAGAGGGAAAAAGGAGAAAAGTCAAACCAAGAAAGACCTGGAGACAGAATGTGATCGACTGGACAGGTCTTAGACAGCCATGAAGTCCATCACATCTGACCGTCAAAGGTGTATAAAGCTGATCAGACAGTCAACAGCAACTGGCGACACGATGATATGCAGTGTTACATGATGATGATGACTTTTTTTTTTACTTTGCAGTCTGGTCAGGGTTGCTGATTCAGGTCATCACTTGTTTCTTTTAATTGCTGTTCCACTCTGATCGTTGTTTTTTCTCTCTTTTTTTAATGTTTAAATTTTAACCCTTATGTTGCTCTAAAAACTTGTGTGAGTTCTTCTAAATGTGTTTTTTTTTTTTTTTTTTTACATTTGGTTAGAACATAATAGTGAAATCTGGCTTGGCAACTAGCCATCTCCACTGTTCCTCTTCAAAAGTGATGAGCAGTGATTTTCAGATGTTTCTCCATGACTGTCTGTACCCCCTTCCCCTCCCCCATTTGTTCTATTTCTAATTGTGCCATATCTGTGTCTGTCTCTCCACTCTCCTCCTGTCTCACTCACTTTGTCTATCCAAAGCTGTTTCAAATGTTATGCAACTTGCTTATCTGTCTCTTTCCACCACTACCAGTTTATGTCTGCCCATTTCTATTTTCCTTCTTCCTTCATGAGGACATTTGTATTTGACCTTGTACCAATCTGATGTCTTTGTCTACAGAAACATGCCTACATCTCCCAGATACAGGCACAGCTGGCAGCTTTAGACGATGAACATAAGACGTTAGTGAGGAACTCAGACCTACAGAGAAATAAGGTCAGATATCTGGTTGCCCTCCTCTCAGTTTTTCAGTGATAAATAAAGTAATCTTAAAACACCATGTTAAGATACATCGTCTATAGCTTCACCCGTTCAGTGATAATTTAAAAAAAAATTAATAACGGAATGCTGCTTTTCTTTGAGTACATTTCAAATGTGAGGCAGCCAGTTTTTAAACTGTCATCAAACCTTCATTCTGTTCGTCTTCACCCTGATGTCACAGGCTTAACGCACTTGACATTCTTAATTAACAACAATATTTACAGTTTACGTGGTTTTTGTTATTTATATCACACATATAAACCCCCTCCTACTTCATCTATAGTAACTGCCAAAATGGACTGGAGAGAACTGTAATGGAGGGTAAGGTTCCAGAGGTTGACGAAGACAGCAGTGGACACAGAAGATGAAAGACACCCTGGGCGTGAATCAATGAATCAAGAATTGACATCACTGCACTTGGAACATTCCCACATGTGCTGCTCTCTCCTTCTTCAGTAACCAATGAACAGTTGACATACTGTTACTACTTACCACTCGCCACCTGATTGAAAGTCTGCCACTGTTTCCCCTTCAGTGCTGACTATCTTTCAGAACCTCAACTCCCTCTCTCTTTTTCCCCCACCTTCCTCGTTGAATTAGTCTTTGTCTTTCAGTGTATGGATTCTCTATCTGTTCTTTTGCACTTTCAATTTGATCCCATAGATCCTTCACCATATCTGCTTTATCTTATATTAGTTCACCACCCAGAGGAGCGACAGCAGCCAATCTGACAGCCTGCTTGTTACCTCACACACCTAAATCTCCTGGAGAGAGAATCCATGATATGCTCTTGATCTGGGTATTACCAAGTGATGCAAGCCGCTCTACACCTCGGACACCAGCTTAAATTTTTTGAAGCATGCTCAGAGAGTTAGTTATAATCACAACATATGAAGGTTCACAAGGTAAGGAAATTGGCAACGGGTAGAAAGGACAGTTTTATCTCTCGGCAGCTGCAGTGAGAAAGGAAATCATCCTGTTGCCTCGACCCATTTATCCCCTTTACAGGCTAATTGTGTACTCTCTGGACACTTGTGGAGAGCTTCTGATTAGCAACTCTCGCAAGTGTGCACAGCCAGGTGCTGCCAAACAAACAGCTGAAACTGGCCAACAATCTACTAGCCCTTCTCTATCGGTCTGTTACACAAGCAGATAACTGAGTGACTTTTTGGCATGCCACAATGGGAGATGTTACTTTCTGTAAAGTACAAGCTTTGTGAGGTCAACACCAGCTATAAATGGGTACCCAGTAAAGTCCTGGGAAGTCAAGGTGGCTGGCGTGATGTTCACCATTTCACTCACTACGTGCCAGTTGGTCTATGAAATATACATCTAGCCCTGTATGCTTGGATGTGTGGAGAATTACTTTTTGTTTTTGTTGTTGTTGCAATTCTTTAGCTGCTATAATTTGGTCATGATGAATTGAGGTATTTCATTTTATACAATTTATACAATCTTCCTACAGACCAGCAAACTGCTTGAGGAGAAACATGATGAGATTGATGCCCTGCAGGATCAGATCAAAACTCTGCAGCAGAGGAATCTCAGACTCCTCTCTGTCTGGTGATGAACGCCTCACTGCTGCCCACCAGGAAAGGGTCAACATGGAGCAGAAGTTAACTGAGACCCGGCTGCAGTTGACAGAAGTGAAGTCAACATGGAGCGACAAGATCACACAGCTGGAAGATCAGGTAGGATTGTTGTCACTGGGGCTGGTTCATCTGGTTAATGAGCCGGGAAAATCTTTGGAAGATCAGACAGGGCTGTTTTTTTGTGTCCCTCTGGTTGATAAATTGTGAAGTTGTGTGACAGGATCACACAGCTGGAAGATCAGGTAGAACTGTTGTTACTGGGGCTGGTTCATCTGGTTGATGAGCCGGGAAATCTTTGGAAGATCAGACGGCTGTTTTTGTGTGTGTGCTAGTCCCTCTGATTGATAAATTGTGAAGTTGAATTGTGTGACAAGATCACACAGTTGGAAGATCAGGTAGAGCTGTTGTGTCTTCTGCTTAAGCCATCCACGATTTTCCCCCTTTCAATCTCTGACCCTTGCCTGCAGCCAAAGCTTCATACAGAGGGTGTTCCCTGTCTGCATCTACTCTGAGGTATGAGTTAGCCTGCAGAAAACAGCATTCTCCGCTCCATGTTCATCGCTGCCATAATCTTTAGTGCATTTAGACCTTTTTTGAGCACTTGTCACAACTTCCTCTATGTGATCCCTGAAAGACAAACCTGTCAGATTTGAGAGAATAGTGGCAGAAGTCATGGTGGCAGAAGTCATGGTGGCAGAAGTCATGGTGGCAGGAGTCATGGTGGCAGAAGTCATGGTGGCAGAAGTCATGGTGGCAGGAGTCATGGTGGCAGGAGTCATGGTGGCAGGAGTCATGGTGGCAGGAGTCATGGTGGCAGGAGTCATGGTGGCAGGAGTCATGGTGGCAGAAGTCATGGTGGCAAGAGTCATGGTGGCAGAAAAAAGGGGCAGTGACCGTCCAGTCTGAAGATGGGCACAGAAAATAAATTAGTCCTTGTGTTGTAAAGCGCGCAAGGTGAGAGGTATGGTGAGAGACCAAGTTTTTTCGAGTAGGTGGTGATGAGAGCGATGTTCTGCAAAGGAAATGCCACTAAAAAGGGTGCATGAGGCATTGTGTTGTGGTTTATGACTAGGCTGCAGTATATGTACAGATCAACACAGCAGATTTCATTTAACCCTCAGCTAGTCACTTTTTCCAGTTGATGAGCCGTGAAATCTTTGGAAGATCAGACAGGGCTGTTTTTGTGTGTGTGCTAGTTCCTCTGGTTGATAAGTTGTGAAGTTGAATTGAGTGACAAGATCACACAGCTAGAAGGTCAGGTCGGGTTGTTGTTACTGGGGTTAGTTGTTCCCCATGTGGGTTCCGGGGGCCCCATCATGGAGAAATCAAGAATAGACCCACTGCCTACCTAACATGCATGTCATAAGAGTAGACTAATTAGAGATTTCCTTCCTGAGAGGCTTGGAACCTACAGTCTGCACACAAATAAGCCAGGTCTGTAAAATGGATGTGCACGCAACACTCAAGTTATGGAACAAGACTAAAGTCTAGAAGTAGACAAACAACCAGACTTTCCTGCCAGAGTTTACAACCATTGAACATGAAGAAGAAGTAGAAGTTCAGTTGTTGATGAGCTGTGAAGTCTTTGTAAGATCACACATTGTTGTTATTTGTGTTGGTCCCTCTTGTTAATGAGCTGTGAAGTCTTTGTAAGATCACACATTGTTGTTATTTGTGTTGGTCCCTCTTGTTAATGAGCTGTGAAGTCTTTGTAAGATCACACATTGTTGTTATTTGTGTTGGTCCCTCTTGTTAATGAGCTGTGAAGTCTTTGTAAGATCACACATTGTTGTTATTTGTGTTGGTCCCTCTTGTTAATGAGCTGTGAAGTCCTTGTAAGATCACACATTGTTGTTATTTGTGTTGGTCCCTCTTGTTAATGAGCTGTGAAGTCTTTGTAAGATCACACATTGTTGTTATTTGTGTTGGTCCCTCTTGTTAATGAGCTGTGAAGTCTTTGTAAGATCACACATTGTTGTTATTTGTGTTGGTCCCTCTTGTTAATGAGCTGTGAAGTCTTTGTAAGATCACACATTGTTGTTATTTGTGTTGGTCCCTCTTGTTAATGAGCTGTGAAGTCCTTGTAAGATCACACATTGTTGTTATTTGTGTTGGTCCCTCTTGTTAATGAGCTGTGAAGTCTTTGTAAGATCACACATTGTTGTTATTTGTGTTGGTCCCTCTTGTTAATGAGTTGTGAAGTCAACATGGAGCAACAAAATCACACAGCTGGAAGATCATGTAGGGGTGTCATTACTGGGGTTAGTTCAGCTGACTGATGAACTGGCAAGTCTTTGGAAGATCAGATGGGGTTGTTGTTTGTGTTAGTTCTTGTGGTTAGTGAGTTGTGAAGTCTTTGTCAAATCATCTGCTTCTTCTTTGTTTGCCCTTAAAAGGGTGGTTGATATTTTGTGGTTTACAGCTAGGCTGGGATATCTCTGCCTTTTGGCCTATTGGCCTAACATCTCCGATTTCAGCAAGTTGCAAATTAATTATGGAGCAGTGGCTCTACCCTCCCCCCCCCCCCTCCTTTCCGGCTAAGAAATGGGGCCCAGAACCGCAGTGATTTTGAAGATCTGAAGTCAGATGCATAAAAATTCTAGGCGGTGTTTATAGCTTACAATGTGGTTGATGAACAGACTTTTCTTCTGACCTGATACCAAAGTATTCTCTCCATGGGAACTGTAGTGCACAAATCTTCTTACCCTCTCCAAGCTCACAAACCATTGGGTCGTGCAGACCAGCACTAGAACTTCATATCTCTGGAAAGTTATATTTAGGATACAACTAGGTCATGGTGCTTATTTTTTATGCTTCTTCTTCTGCATTCTTCCAAGGTCCGAATTGCATGGTTTACATTCACGGCATGGTTGTGATTTTTGTGCCATCTTCAAGCATTTGTTCCCTGGTCTAGCCTTCCTGGGATCATGATTCAGCACACCATTTACAGGCAGCTTGAGATCAGGCCTAGGTTGTTAATGTTTTCTTCTGAACCCTTTTGCAAAAAAAAAAAAAATTGTGACACAGTTTGCAGGTCTCTCCAGACATTATCTGTCTGGACATGTTCTCACACAGATCCTGACTATCTCAGACTCTCATCCAGAGTCTTGTGATTTGCTGCTATCTACAATCTTTGGAAACAGCATGAAGCCAATGAAGCCATTACCTTTAATTTCCATAGGTTGCGGAGATTAAGTGTGTCTTGTTTTTGTGTTTCAGATCTCACATCTCAATGCCAAAATTGTTGAAGACAGCGAGGAATATGTAGCCAGTCAGAAAATGGCCGAGCAAATGAAGGAGAACTTCCACAAACAGGTAAGTATTCTTCTTCATCTTGTTCGCGTTCCCGGCTGTAAACTCTTGCAGAAAGTTCTGGTTGTTCATCCACCTCTGGACTCTAGTCTTGTTCCAAAAACTGAGTGCTGCGAGCACATCCATTTGACAGATCTGACTTATTTGTGTGCAGATTGTTGGTTCCTCTCAGGAAGATGGTCTCCAACTTTGAAGGAGACCCCGAGTTAATCGACTCTTGGGACATGCTTGTTGGCGACTGGGGGGCAGTGGGTCTCTTCCTGTTTTCCCTACAATGGAGCCCGGAAATCCATATAGGGATGTATTATTCCTATTTAGCTTCCTTTCATGCGTCAAATCTTCAGAGATCTCTGTGAATCTACTCTTCTTCTTTCCTTTACCACTCATGGGGGCAAAGGCCCTCGACTAGCTCCTGCCACGTCATCCCATCTTTTGCTGTTGCTGACCCACTGTCTTCTGTATCTTCTTTCATTTCACTCTCCCAATTCCATTCAGCGTCTGTTTTTGGTCAGAGAAAAGAAGAAAAAACAACAAACAAAAAAAAAAGAAAACTACAAGGACATTTTTAAAAAAGGAAGAGGAAAAAAAGGAGATACAGAAAAAAGTGTAGGAGAAAAAGAAATCTAGAAGAAGAGAAGATGATAAAGAAAAATAGTGAGGATGGGACTGTTAAGAGGAGGAAAAAGAGAAACAGAAGAAGAAAAGAAAGAAGAGTAAGATGCAGGATTGTATAGTGTATTACTATAACCGCTGTCTGTATTAACCACTTTTTCGGTCGGTGTAGGCAGGGGGTCGTGGACCTGAGTATTTAGGACTGCATGGCTGGTGCTGTCACCCCGGACTGTGTAGATTATTACGTTTTTGTGTGTGTCCCTCGACAGAAAAACTCAATCACCCTACTGGTGATTTTCAAAAATGACCTTGGCTTCCAGGTCGACCCAGCCTTGAGGTGGTACCGGATGCAGTCCCGGGAAAGTGAAGGCGGCCTGCGTAATACTGACCATATCACCCATCTTGTGCCGACTGGTCTATAAAAATATAGGTCTATATGCTCTATACGCCTTAAAGCGTGGAAAAGGGTCATTTACTTACTTTACTTACTTTACTTACTTTACTTACTTTACTTACTTTACTTACTTTACTTACTTTACTTACTGGTGATGGAACTCGGGTATAGTGTGTTGTAGTTAGATAATGTAGTTACTGCGGTTTATCTATCTACAGATTGCTGATCTGAGAAACAAGCTTGAGGATGCAGAACAGAGAGCTTTAGAGAATTTAGAACTGGCTTCATCCAAGGATTCGCATTACGAGAAGCAGGTGAGTGCTTGTTTAAGTTTAAAGTCAAGAAAATCACTTAAATTGCACAGTTTTTAACCCATATGGCTCGGTCTGTCTCCACAGAACGACTAGCTGCCTGCAGTGCAACAGTTTTCCCAGGAATCTCTCTGAATTTGTGCTCTAGAGGTGACTCACATGTCCGTGAACTGAACGACGTGTCCATAAAACAAACCTGCAACCTTTCAGAGCACGAAGCAAACGGCTTGTTTACAAATAGTTGTTTGAGTGAAGGACCCAAGATTTCAAATCCAAATCTTACACATATCTTTTGCACATATTCTGTATATGTAATCATCATCATCATCATTGTCCAAAGTGATTAGATGAAACATTTAAAAAAAAGAAACATAAATATAAGGAAGATAGGATAAAAAAAGTTTACTCTGGAATCCAGGCTTTTGAATCCAAATATTTTAAAAGTCTGTTTGTACGTATTAATCATTATTTTCATCATCACCATCATGTGTCGTCCCAGTATGTTTGGGCAGGCATAGTTCACTATCTGACATGATCACAGATATTTGTCTGTAGTCTTCTGCTTACCCATCAGGTTTGTCAGTTGTCACTTTAGTTGTAAAGTTTATTTCTTCTTATAAGATGCCCACAGGAATCTTGGATATCTACATCTAATATACGTAATCATTTTCTGGTTTCCCCTTGTGGGGTCTGGGGCCCTATTTTGGGTGGGGCAGGGAAAGAATAGATCCACTTCCCCCCCCCCTCCTCAAAAAAAAAAGCATGTCAAAAAATTAGACTAATCATTGTGTTTCCTTCAAAGTCGGAGGGCATCTGCTTGAGAGGCCAATAACCAACAGTCTACTTACACATAAGCCAGTACTGTAAAATGGATGTGCACGCAGTTCTCAATTTCTGGAACAAAGCCAACGTTCAGAATTGTATGAGTAACCAGAACTTTCTGCTAGAGTTTTATAATCAGTGAACCTCAGAAGAAAAAGAAAAGAAGAATTTCTGGTTTACCTCTATTTCTCGAAGGACAGCCACATTCATTCTTCTGACAGTTCATGATATTCTTGCAGTCCCCCCCCAAAAAACTCTTTTTTTTATTCCAGATTGAAGAAATGCAGCGAGAACTCAACCGACAAAAGCTGGCAGCAACAGACAATGAGGAACTGCTGAGGGCAACAATCACATCTCTAGAAGCCCAGCTCAATGATCTTCAGATGGTCAGGAAACTGCTGGATGATGAAGCCAAATCCAGATTAGTAAGTTGCATTTGTTGATTTTTAGATTTGGTCGAGGCCCTTTGAGACAAAGTGGTCAGTGAGGAGGCTTGAATCAATCATTATGATCCGGAGAGAAAGATACAGCTAGGAGTGATGAGGGAATCGGGTGGACACTCTATACTCACAGGAAAGGTAAGACGGACATATAATGGAACTGCTGTTGGCATTATTGGAGTTAGAAGTCTTCACTGGCTACTGAAGATGAGAGCAGAGCACTTACGGGAATTTCATGAGTGTCGTGAAGTTCAGTTATTAGCTCAACATTCAACAATATTTTTTTTGTTTTCTTTATTTGGGGGTTCGCTGTTCCAGAGATTCATGCTGCTTGATTTGTGTTCTTTATTTGATTGATCTGCCACCTGATCATGTTTGGATGTTGTTATTCTACTTTTTTATTTCCCTGTGTGGCTTCTGGGGCCTTGATTTGAGGGGGAGGTGGGGGGGGGGAATAGACCCACTGCACCTTTAAATGTTTGTTGTAAAAGCATTTGTGGCTTAAAGATTGCGAACACGCTTGCTGGTTATTTGGCTATGTCTATGGGGGCAAATCAAGAACATTGACCTGATCTGTGATTCCAGTGTTTGTTTGAGATGGTGAGACATGACAGCCTATGCTTATCAACAAGACCAGGTGATGATGAAATAGTGTCGATTTGTGATGGTCAGTTGATTAGGTAATTTATTAGTCACCTAACTCTGCTGGTATTTGTGTCTCAGGTACAGACAGAAGAGCAGATTGCAGGTTTGCTAGACCAGAAGACCAACCTTGAAGTCAAAACCCAGGACCTGGAGGACAAGTTGGCAACGTTACAGGTTGTGTAAGACAGGTCCATGTGCCCTTGTTTCTTTCCACATCTTCTTCTTCTTCTTTACGTCTTCTTTTACCGCTTCGGGTATCGAGGGAGATATAAGGTCCTGCTTCGTGCTCTTCTGACTGCTTCCACCATAGACACATCATGGTGCTGTAGAGTTTCTCTGATGTTATCTTCCCATATTGGTCTGCCTCTTGCTCCCCTCTCCTCTTTTGGTATATGCCTCGTATGGTAAAGGATCAGAAGGCATTCTATTCAAGTGGGCAAACCATGTGATATGCTTGCTGTCTTTGTATGTAATTAAGAATTTGGTTCTGTGCTGACTTCATCTTGTATGACCTCGTTAGTGATTTGATCTCTTCTGGTCACTCCTACATTTTTTCCCAGACACCTCATTTCCACATCTTCACTGTCATTAAAGTAACGTAAAGGACCGTTTTGCACATACGTTGTGGGCATATAATACTAGACCTATAGTTTATAGAACAATCAGCAGTCGGTGGGTGATGTGGTCACCATCATGCTGGCTGCCTTTACTTCCAAGAACTTTATCTTATACTCATTTAAGGCTGGGTCAGCCCGGGAGCCAAGGCCATTCCCCCCCCCCCCCCCCATTCAAAAAAGTCCTGCTCCTTACAGATTTGAACCCATGACGCTTGCATCTGCAGGCAAACTTGTAGCTGCTACACCACAGTGGCTTCCCTTCACTGTCATTATCAGCATCATTATCATAGTTATTGGCAGTGTAATTATCATTGTTGTTATCATCTTCATTGTCAGAAACTGTTCACTGTGTTTTTCTCATCTTCCTGATCATCATTAATAGTCATGGGGGTGTCTGTGCCATATAGTATCGTTGAGAAAACATCACATTCAACATTTTTGATGATCACAGTATCACATTAAGTCAAGACCCTTTTTCTGGCCTTCAGGTGTGTCGGGCATATAGAGCTAGACTTAGATAGACCAGTCGGCTCTCGGTAGGCGATGTGGTCAACATCCTGCCGGCCACCTTTACTTCCCACGACTTTACTTGGTACTCATTTAAGGTTGGGTGGACATAGGAGCCAAGGTCATAACAAACAAACAAAAAATAGTCCAGCTCTGTTTGGATTTATTTAAGCCTTTCAAACCAAACTGTATCTGAGATTGTTTTCAATCAACTCCTCACAGACAGTGCTAGCAGACAAAGATGATTCGATAAGGACCCTTAATCAGCAGATTCAGCACTGGGAGACTACTGCTACAGAACAGACAAAGTCGGTAAGTTTTAGCGTCTGCTGGTTGTTGGTAACTTCTCTGTTTCTGTAGGATGGAGACTTCATCATCATCATAAACCACTTCTGCCGTTAAGCATTGTGGGAGGAATCATTTGCCATCCAGTACACACTGGCCGCCACTGGCTATTGTCATGCCGTGAAGGCGTAGAGTGTCTTTAATGTTGTCGATCTATATTTTCCGTGGCTGACCTTTTGCTGTTATATCTGATCTTCTGGGCTGTAGTGCCTGTGATGGTATTTGATCTTGCTGCATTCTAACGAGATGGCCAAACCACTTGATCTGCTGTTTCTCGATGAATCTAGTACAAGGTGTTGTTCCCACAGTTTGCCTGATAGTTTCATTATTCACTCAGTCTCAGGTGGTTAGGCTGGCGGATTTTCGCGGGCACCTCATCTCGCAGGTGGTGATTTTGTGTATATGGGCTTTAGATAGAAACACTTTATAAAAGGAAATACAAATGTCTGTTACAGTCAAGAGGGTCGACTTCTTTGAACGAAGTTATCACATACAGCTTGGTCTCTCTCCGGAGAACAGTAGCTGCCTGTAGAGTAGAATATATATAGCAGGCACCCAGAATACCTGTGCAGACTTTTTTTTCAGAATACCTGTGTAGACTTTTTTTTCAGAATACCTGTGTAGACTTTTTTTTTCAGAATACCTGTGTAGACTTTTTTTTCAGAATACCTGTGTAGACTTTTTTTTCAGAATACCTGTGCAGACTTTTTTTTCAGAATACCTGTGCAGACTTTTTTTTCAGAATACCTGTGCAGACTTTTTTTTCAGAATACCTGTGCAGACTTTTTTTTCAGAATACCATACAAAGATGAACATAAAGGAGAGCAAGAGATTGATGATCACACATATGAAGTTGGTGTGATCAACTCAAACAAGTTGTTTGAACAGAATATCATTCCCGAAGAAGATGACATGAACCTAAACACAAAGTCGACACAGCAAGAATGTTCAGATTTTAATAAGAAAGGAGAACAAGAAAATAGTAAAGACATTCGACGGATTGTAGAAGAGTTAACCAATGAGAAGAACAAGAAGTCAAATCAGAACTTTGTGATATTACCAGATGATGGACAGTTGTATTATGTCTCAAAAAAAGATAATTAACCAAGACTAAGAAAATATGTGCTTAAACACTTACAAGCAGATTTGCTGAAACAGTATCATGAACAAAATGGCAAAATGGGTAAGGACAAGACACATTAAACCATCCAGTTGAAATATATCTTCCTGGACTTGTACTAGACAGTATGTGAATATGTTGACACAAGTGAGAAATGCAGACTCAGAAACATTAAACCATCCAGTTGAAATATATCTTCCTGGACTTGTACTAGACAGTATGTGAATATGTTGACACAAGTGAGAAATGCAGACTCAGAAACATTAAACCATCCAGTTGAAATATATCTTCCTGGACTTGTACTAGACAGTATGTGAATATGTTGACACAAGTGAGAAATGCAGACTCAGAAACATTAAACCATCCAGTTGAAATATATCTTCCTGGACTTGTACTAGACAGTATGTGAATATGTTGACACAAGTGAGAAATGCAGACTCAGAAACATTAAACCATCCAGTTGAAATATATCTTCCTGGACTTGTACTAGACAGTATGTGAATATGTTGACACAAGTGAGAAATGCAGACTCAGAAACATTAAACCATCCAGTTGAAATATATCTTCCTGGACTTGTACTAGACAGTATGTGAATATGTTGACACAAGTGAGAAATGCAGACTCAGAAACATTAAACCATCCAGTTGGAATATATCTTCCTGGACTTGTACTAGACAGTATGTGAATATGTTGACACAAGTGAGAAATGCAGACTCAGAAACATTAAACCATCAAGTTGAAATATATCTTCCTGGACTTGTACTAGACAGTATGTGAATATGTTGACACAAGTGAGAAATGCAGACTCAGAAACATTAAACCATCCAGTTGAAATATATCTTCCTGGACTTGTACTAGACAGTATGTGAATATGTTGACACAAGTGAGAAATGCAGACTCAGAAACATTAAACCATCCAGTTGAAATATATCTTCCTGGACTTGTACTAGACAGTATGTGAATATGTTGACACAAGTGAGAAATGCAGACTCAGAAACATTAAACCATCCAGTTTGAATATATCTTCCTGGACTTGTACTAGACAGTATGTGAATATGTTGACACAAGTGAGAAAAATGCAGACTCAGAAACATTAAACCATCAAGTTGAAATATATCTTCCTGGACTTGTACTAGACAGTATGTGAATATGTTGACACAAGTGAGAAATGCAGACTCAGAAACATTAAACCATCCAGTTGAAATATATCTTCCTGGACTTGTACTAGACAGTATGTGAATATGTTGACACAAGTGAGAAATGCAGACTCAGAAACATTAAACCATCCAGTTGGAATATATCTTCCTGGACTTGTACTAGACAGTATGTGAATATGTTGACACAAGTGAGAAATGCAGACTCTGAAACATGAAAGCCATCAAGTTTCCCATACAAGAAACAGATGTTCCCCAGTTTCCCATGCAGAAGGTTACCTTAGAATCTTAGAACCTATTTTACAGTTTATAAGTTCATTCATTCAGTAGCATGTCCCTCGCGGAACCTCGCTGCCATAACAACCCTCCGGAAAACCTTCCTATCCTGAGCAAGATGTCCTGCGTCTGATACACCCATCTGGAGATCATCTGCCACATCCTGCACCCATCTTCTCCTTGGCCTTCCTCTTCCTCTCTTCCCAGGCATATACCCCTCCATTATTGTTCTCTCTAGACCTCCATGACGTTTCAAGTGACCAAAATATTTCAATTTTCTTTGTTTTATTGTCTTTACTAGCCAACCCTCTTCAATATTCAGCTCTTGAAGTATGGATGCATTTGTTCTTTTCTTTACCCAAGATATTCTTAGAACCTGTCTGTAACATTTATATTCATATGCGTTTATAAGTTACATGTGTAAAATATATTTTTTTAAAGAAATTCCCACATATTCATGACATATTTCTTTTAGCAGAATATTAGTAAGTATGTCTCTGGAATCAACCCAACCTCATTAAAAAAAAAAAGAGAGTTTTATTGTGAGGAAAGATAATGAGGAAGATAACTGGCCACCAACCTCATTGCAAGTCAAGATCCCTTGACACACTAGTGATGCATCAGGCATCTGAGGCTAGACTCAGATTTATAAAAACCAGTCGGCCAGTGATGGAGCATCTGGTAACTCGCTAGTCTAGCTTCCGGACTAGCATTTGTTAAAAAAAAAAACTGGCAGTACTGTCTGCATTTACCACTTTTGCAGTGTAGGCAAGGGGACCTTTGAGTTTGAGGATTCAGGGCTGCTTGGCTAATGCTTTCGCCATGGACTCTGCAGGCTACGATTTTATTGTTGTCCCACAACAGAAACAAATCTGTGACCTAACTGAGGTTTTGAACCTTGGTCTCCCATATAAGGGTCCAGTGTTCTTAACCATTAGGCCGGCCACTTCTCCTAGGATGTGTGAATACCTAATAGTAAGCACCCTGGCAGCGGTGACATCTGTGGGACAACCTTGACTTGTTTGTGTCTCCTGCACAGATGGTGTCTCTGCAGCAGCAGGTTGCTGGCTTGACCAGGGAGGTTGAGCAGACGTCGAGGGCAAGGGATGGAGTTTGAGCGGCATCTTCGCCTGTCTGAAGCAGGTACTGATCATCATCATCATCATCACATTCACTGTTAGAAACATATAATATGTTAGTTGTTTCCCGTGTGGGTTCAGGGGCCCCATTGTGGGGTAATATGGAATAGACCCACTGTCGGCTAGGACACACATTGAGAAAACCGGAGTACAATATAACTAGAATGTCTTTGCACTGGAACCCACGGGGGCCTAAGAATAAAGAAAGGCCCAAAAACACATGGAGAAGGGAGCTGGAGAATGAAAAAGATGGGGAGGACATGGAGAGAGCTGCATGCTATAGCAAAAGATAGAATGACTTGGGCCTATACTCAGTTGGTGGCTAGAAAGGCAGAATAAGAAAAGATTTTTGGTTAACAAATATGTTGTAAATGTCCACTAATACGGCCTTTGAAGTCAGAGAGCATCTGTCAGGAACCAACAGCCTGCATACAGACATGCTAGATCTATCAAATGGATGTGCATGCAAAAACTCAGGTTCTGGAATAAGACTAAAGTCCAGAGGTGGACAAACAACCAAAACTTTGCCCTGGATGAACAAAAAGAAGAAGAAATTATCATCATCTTCATTATCAGAAAAAGTATTTATCCGGCTCAAACATCATAACACTTAGTCTCCGTTACATGATCATTAAGACCCAGTTAACCATTTCACACGAAAGAAACAAACCATTGTATTTAGACTGTGCACTGGAGCCAGCAGAATCTGCAGCCAGATGTACAGGGAAATTCAGCATTGGGGATTCAGAACTGTGCCCATGCGGCAGGCACCACAGAATACTGAACTTGTACTGCATACATGCTCTCTACATGCAGTAGAGCAGGGGTTCTCAAACTTTTTGGACCGCGGCACCCTTGTCAGGCAAAAACACATTTTCACGGCACACCTACCCTCAAAGTGGTTTGAATACTTAGGAAAAAATGAAAAAAGTGCACGTTTAATGTTCAGTTGTCTTAAATGCGATGAATGAAACTGTTTAGATTACTTTATTTTTATTATTTTCTTTGTGTATATGGGAAGTTTAGTTAATTTTACCCCCAGATCACTTGACCCAAAAAGTTTGTCCTGTATCTGTTTTTCAAGTAAGCATATGCTGAGATTGCACTGCAGCCTTGCCAACAGCATTGTCTTCTCCATACACTCTTCTTGGTTTTCTTCACCTTGTTTCTGTTTTGAACTGCTGTCTTCGCTGATCTCAAGCAGATTTTGAAAATTTTTTGATTATTGCCACGGCACCCAGTTTGAGAACCTTTGCAGTAGAGAGATCCCAGGTTTGGCCGGATGGCATACCATGGAAACCAAGCTGTAGGGATCCGTGGAAGACAGGTGTTGCACCTGAGACTTCATAGAGACCTGTGACATTCTCATCGGAAAACCATGGCCAGATAGAGCAAAAATGAAAAGACCTGGTTGTCGTCACCACCCCCTCCACTCTTAGGAGGAGATATCATGGGGAGATGGTCTTCGTGGCAAAGTTGTCAAAATGTTTACCTCACGCTGGAAAGGTCGTGGGTTTGTTTCACGGCAGCATCGTTTGGTTCATGGGTGCAACTTTTATGGAGAACCCTGTGGGATGGGTGCAGAAGCTATGGAGTTTATGCTTTGTACTTGGCAGGCTGCCAGTCATTCTTCTTAGGGAAACAGGCCATATGGGATGAAACCTCTTGCAATGAAATCGATCCTCACGACTTTACTAGAAAATCTTGATCTTCGTCATCATCTAGTTATTTTTATCATCATCTTCATCTATGTCATCGTCGTCATCACCATCATCATTTTTGTCATCATCATCATCATTTTTGTCATCATCATCATTATTTTTGTCCTCATTATCATCATAATTTATGTCATCATCTTCATCATTTTTTTGATCATCATCATTTTTGTCATCATCATCATCATTTTTTCATCATCATCATCATAATTTTTTTTCATCATTATCATCATTTTTTTCATCATCATCATCATTTTTTTTCATCATCATCATTTTTTTTCATCATCATCATTTTCATCATCATCATCATCATCATCATCTGTGTCATCATCATCATCATTATCATCTGTGTCATCATCATCATCATCATCTATGTGTCGTTATCATCATCATCATCATCTGTGTCATCATCATCATCATCTGTGTCATCATCATTGCATGAACAAATGAAACCCCATTCGTCTGGCTGATGATCTTCACTAGGGCTTATGTTTGTGGTATGTCTTATATATCAAGAACATTGAACTGTTCTGGGGCTTATCTGTGTGAAACCCTAACACTTTACCTCCTGACCGCAGTTAAATGCTTATGGACTACGCTGATGTTTTTTTTAATCTCCAGAAAAAGGAGATCTGTTGGAAAGAAATGCTGACCTTCTCAAGCAGCTACAGAGCCTCAAGTCCAGTAACTCTGATTCCAAGCTGGAGCTGCAGAGAATGGTGGAACTGAAATCTGAGACAATAGAGTCCATGAGAAAATCTGAGTCAACTCTGAGGCAGAGGTTGGAGTCCTTGGAGAACAGGGTGAGAGAAATAGATTTACAGGTAGTGAGATAGAAAATGGTTGATGTGTAGACATACAGTTAGTCAGATTGGCTGAATGGCTAGAGAGATGTGTCTAGAACAGGTAGTGAGAAAGTTTAGATCATGGTTGATGTGTAGACATACAGTTAGTCAGATTGGCTGAATGGCTAGAGGTATGTGTCTAGAACAGGTAGTGAGATAGAAAGTGGTTGATGTGTAGACATACAGTTAGTCAGATTGGCTGAATGGCTAGAGGTATGTGTCTAGAACAGGTAGTGAGATAGAAAGTGGTTGATGTGTAGACATACAGTTAGTCAGATTGGCTGAATGGCTAGAGGTATGTGTCTAGAACAGGTAGTGAGAAAGTTTAGATCAGTGGTTGATGTGTAGACATACAGTTAGTCAGATTGGCTGAATGGCTAGAGGTATGTGTCTAGAACAGGTAGTGAGATAGAAAATGATTGATGTGTAGACATACAGTTAGTCAGATTGGCTGAATGGTTAGAGGTATGTGTCTAGAACAGGTAGTGTGAGATAGTTTAGATCAGTGGTTGGCAAACTCTTTAGTCGAGAGTGCCAAAAATCAGCAGCAGGACAATTGCAGATATTTTGGGAGTGAAATTTCTTTTCAAGAACCTGTCAAGAACCTGTCAAGAACCTGTCAAGAACCATGTTTTCGGAGTCAAAACTGATTTGTGGCTGACTGGCCAAGCCACACTCAAGTCGCTTAAGCACCACATGCGGCCCAGTGAGCCGCGATTTTCCGACCACTGGTTTAGATCAACTTTAGAGCTGAACATTTCAAATTTGGTTTGGATTTAATTTGCCTTGCCCATTGCCCATGTTTGCTAGTGCCGTAAAAGCTTCTCTGTCTTTGTGCACTTTATTTTGTGTATCTGCTCTCTCATTTGTGTCCACAATGCTGTCTAATGAAGTATCTGTATTTAACTGCTTTGGCTCGCAGGTCGACCAGTGTCTTGGAAAGTAAAAGAGGCTGGCAGGAGATTGGCCACATCACCAATAGAGTGTTGCTCGGCTTATCCCCCTTTTGTGAAATATGCTGTCAGATTTGCTGGAACCAAAAGAGTTAAAGAATGGCACAACACTTCTTCTTACTGGTTTGATTTGCATTTGTGTCTTAGATTGAACAGAATGAAATCTCCAAGGCAGAATCGGGGCTGTATTCAGACAGAATTGATGAGATGAACAAGACTATTTTCTCACTGCAGACTCAGCTGACGGAGAAGACAAAAGTAAGTGGGTCAGATTCAAGTTTGATTGTTCGGCACCTTTCAGTCTTTCCGGAGGATAGTGTTATGCTGTGCTATAGGGAGGCATGAGAATCACATGACTTGTAACTTGTTGTCCCTAGCGCATTGGTCCGAACCATTCGTGCTGCATCCTCCCATGCAGCAGCGATCTCAGTGTCTCCAAGCTCAGTGTACCCACAGTTGGAATTAATTGGCATATCATCTTTTATTGCCTGGCAACCAGTTTCTGCTTGTCCTCAAGTGATTCCCCACCTCTGACTCTTTTATCTCAAAGTCTCTGGAACTCAGTGCATTCAGTGTGTCTGCTCTGTCTTGACTTCTTCCTACGCTAACCACTTCAGACGTGGCCGGTCTGTTAAACTCTCTCATTTTAATTCACCCCTGGCTTCTCCCGGTGTGTACAACCAAAATAGTTTCTTGAGGCATGACTTACTTCAGGATGCTGTCAACCTATTCTAGTCAGAGATTGCCAGTTTGGATCTTCTTAAGCATGCTCATTGAGTCTGCCATTATCAGTGTGTGAGTTGCTGTCTGTGTTGCCAGCTATGGGAGTGCCCCTGTGACAGCTATCTCCATACTAGAAGTGTGTCTGACTGTCTTCTTATGCTGTCTTGCTGTTCAACTGCATTGTGTATGCCAAGCCAGAACACACCCAACCAACCACTGAGCCATCTGTATAGATGATTGGTATCACATGCTGTGGCAGTGGTCTTGTATAGGTTAATTGTGGATCCTTTACAGGATGTTGCAGAACCAACCCCAGCAGCCCCTGGCTGTTGTGTGGTTTCTTTAGGCAAATTTAGTTTGTCATTGCTTTCTGGACTGTCAGCCCCCTGATTCCACTGTCGAAACCCACGCAAGGCGCAGGGCCCGCAGCTGGGATTGAACCCAGCACCTTGGTATTACGAAGCCTTCGCATCAACTTAGCCACAGAGCCGACTTGGTCTTGTATATTACAAGAGAAATTAAAACAGTAACACTATGTAATAATTGTGCTACATTGTGACAGCGATATTGGTTTCTACCATGTGAATACAGCCCAATGTTTTATTTCATTAATTTTCTGTTGAAAGCGAACATTTGTTTTCATAATTCAGCTTATAATGTGATGCATTGACTATAATAAACCAAGTTGTTGTTGTTGTTGTTGTTATCCATCCAGCGGCTAATAAACCAAGAAAATGGAACATTCTAATCATTATTTAATGTCTGATACAGTTTATGTTCTTTGGTTAAGAAATATACCAGATGACTGAGCAGTAGAATTATTGTTTAGCTTATGATGTGCTACTAAAATCATTCTAAAAAGAATGACTGAATTGGAACTCTGTGCTTAATGGTGAAGATGGAGACAGAGCACTTATAGGAATGCCCAGAGCGTTAACTCATAACTTATGAAAAATGAGCAAAAATAAATGGTGTATTTGGTTACACTTAACAATTTAATTCAAACGCTGTGTCTTTCAGGTAGTGAAAAAACAAGAGCAAACATTGAAAGACTTGAGAATGACTCTACAACGAGAGTTGAAGATCCAGTCCTTGCCAAACGACGAAGCTTTTGACCTCACAGCCAATAACCTGTCTTCCACTTCACCAGTCATGTCACGTAAATATGGCTCTGACTCGCGACTGTGCCCGAAACATCCGGAGTTCCAGCAGTATTGCCAACAGCAAACCTCTTGTCAGACCAGCTTGCAGATGAGCAGTTCATTGTTGAATTCCAGTTCTGCGGCAGCCTCGTCTTCCTCGGTATCTTCCGGCATGGTGCCTTCCTCATGTGCCGGTTCTCCATCAGCGCCAAGTGGTGCCACAGATGCACTGACGGCACACACTACCAGTGTCAAGAGAGATCTCAACAAGGATGTGAACTTTCTCTACCTCAAGCATGTTGTTCTCAAGTTCATGCTGAGTAGGGAGTCAGAGGTAAAGTTGTTGTTGTTGTTGTACACCTCCTGCTCCTCCTTTTCTTCTTTTTCTGCTTCTTATTCTTCTTTTGCTTCTTATTCTTCTTTTGCTTCTTATTCTTCTTCTTCTTCTTCTGCGTACACTCTTAAAAGTATGTTTGAAACATTGTCTTGCAGTCAACTGCTAGACTGCGATATCTCTTCCTTTCAGCTCAACATGTCCAATTTTTGCAAAACCCTAGCTTCTTCTTCTTCTTCGCGTTCACCAGCTGTACACTCTGGCGGAAAGTTCTGGTTGATCGTCCACTACTGAACTGCAGTCCCGCTCCAGAACCTGAGTTTTGCGTGTGCATCAGTTTTACAGATCTCATTCTCTTGAATACAGACTGTTGGTTCCTTGCCTCTCCGGCAGATGCACTCCGACTTCAAAGGAAGCTCCCCAATTAGTCGACTCTTACGACATGCTTTTGGGGAGGCAGTGGGTCTATTCTTGTTTTCCTCACAATGGGGCCCCGGAACCCACACGGGGGACAAAACCCTAGCTAGTCACCTTTTATGACATGCTGTTGGAAGAAAAAGGGACGGGGAGCAGTGGTTTTATTCCTCCCACCTCCATTTTTCCTTAAAATGTGGCTTCCGCACGTATGTGGGGAAGAAAGGTAGTGTTGATTATAGTTAATTTATTTGCTTGCCAGCTCAGAGGACAAAGGTTTGAATTCTTATAGAGGCGGCTGTTAACCTTTGTCCAGGGCTGAAGGTCGACTTAGTCTAATCTTCAGCAGCAGGGATTTGTTTCATAAGATTAGGTGTTTTTTTAATATCGTAAAAAGCAAATAATTAATAATTTGCTGAAATCAGATATGATGGGCCGAAAAACACAAATATCAGAGCCTAGCTGTAAACCACAACACAGCAAGGCCAATCGTCCCTTTCAGAAGTGAAATCAAAGAAAGAAAAAAAAATGCAGTTTTTGCTTCTCTTCTCCGTCTCTATACCTTCTTACATCTGTTTTTATCACTGTGCCTAGGTCTTGAGTTGCTGTACTTACTCCAGAATAATATACCTGACTATAAATTGTTCTGTTTCGTTGACATTTTGTAAGTTCCCTATCCTTTACAGGACGTGTCTAAAGTTTTTATACTAAAGCTGTTTGTCTGTGTTTACTCCATCACAGGCAATCCAGCTGATCAAAGCCGTGTCCATGCTCCTGGACTTCACCCAGCAAGAGCAGCAGCTGGTCAGGGAGACCCTCCGGTGGAGGATGTCCTGGTTTGGCCATCGGCCCCCGGTGGGCAAAAGTCAAACCTCGAAGATTATCCCTCCAACATTGTAGCACTTCGTGTGTCTGTGTGTATGTACATTGGTTCATGGGGTATTTATATGGGGGTTTGGCAAATCACTGGTTGTCCTCCTGTTGTTTGCTGTGCAACCTTAATTCTTTCAGTGGCAGAAGGATGCAAAAGATGCCCACCAAAGGGCATAGAGATAATAAGGCAATTTCAAGCGTAACTCTGTCATAGGATTCAAATATACACATTCTGTTTTTGAAAATTTGAACACAAATTTGGCAGATTTCTTTGTTAAGATGAAGGCAGGTCTGTTCAGTTAAGTTTAGATGGGGCCAAAATGTGGAAAATGAGGATCGTCATGGGTCAGAGGACTGAGCCCCAACATAGAAAGATCTTTCACACAATACACTGAGAATGATCTGTGTGCCCCTTCTTAGGCCTCTGTGGGCCACATTTGGCCCATGGGCTACCATGTAAATAGCCCTGATTTAAAGCATGCTTTTTCATGCTGTGGTACCCCAAGTATATTGTGCTAGAGCCAGCTTGAGACTTGATGATTGAAATGGGTGATAGACTGGTTTACTGTTTTTAGTCTCAGTTTTTTGCTTCTGGCATTTTGCTTGTTATATTAACTAAAAGGATATAATTCAGTCACCCAGCTACTGAGTTGAGTGCATGACACGACACAGTGAGCTGCAGATTTAATTTGGAATGCTTTTTTGACTGTGCCCAACCTGGTTTGTTTTGTGTTGTGACCTGCAGATTCAGAAAATGGTGAGTGGCTTGTTGCCAGAAAACATGGTGCCTTATACGATTAATTGTATGTGCAGTTACTGATCTGTTCTAACTGCTGCTTCCATCGACAGTGAACTACATTTATAGTGTTAGACTGTTTGTGTTGGCCCTTCTGATGGCTGCCTAATGGATTTAATAGGTGTCTATGCTGTTGGATTTGTTAAGACTGTGGCCCATGTCAGTTTTTTCAAAGGAAACAATGATGAACATTCTGTGTGGTTTTTAAATAGCACAGGAACAGAGCAACTATGGGGTGACCCATTTGATGGGAAGTTGGGATGGCAGTTAGCTGATTTGGGGTGCTATGACTAAATGTAAGAAGTCCAACCACATGTTTACCAAACAATAAGTGGACCAACTGAGAAATATCTGATGGACATGTTGTTTCTAAGGAAAATGCAAAGAATTGTACAGTTGCAGAGAAACTAAAGTCACAAACAATGGATTGCACAATTTATTGCCTGGTGTATACTTTAGTAATAATTGATTAAATTGAAGCAAATAAATGAATCTTTTGAACTGAAACACAAAATCGACTACATTCAAAAACTGTTTATTTCACCATGGTAAACGCAAGGTTAAGACCATGTCCTTTTGTCTGCATAATTCTGGAGTAAACTGGTTTATAGCGGTCGCTTCCGGTTTATGACTTTTAGGAACATATAGCTGTAAGGAGGAATTTCATATAAAAGGCTGTTTTTGTGTAAGTGAGATAACAACATTAGTTGGGTTTTGTGTGAGTTGGTTGAATGCCTGTGCTCTATTGGGGTATAAAGGGCATAAGAAGGAGAAGCAAAACATCAGTATTTTTGCCACTGCTCAATTATACAAGAGGATTGAATTGGTGAATCATTTTTCCAGCTTCATAGCAACAGGTCGCCTCATAGTAACTCCGTTCCCATGCCAACGACAACACAGAATGCTCATCACTTCCTTTGTGAAAAAAATTGAAAAAGTCTGCGGCACACATGCATTCCGACATATACACATCAAATGCATAGGGCAGCCATCATAGGTGCCAACGCAAACAGTCTACCACACAAGAATTTGAGAGCAGTTGGGGTTGTATGTCAGTTGGGTGTTTCACTGCCAAATGTTAGACTAACTTTTGAAACTGGAAATATGGGATCATTTTTGTTGTTATGGTGACAGTGGACAAGGAAACAAAATAATATTTATAAGCAGAAATGGGCTTGACTTTCCTTTATCTTTACAGTTCTCAGTGTGCTTTGTTCTTTTGTCTGTATCTGTAATTCAGATTAAAACTGCCCCCGTGTGGGTTCCAGGGCCCTATTATAGGGAAAACAAGAATAGACACACTGCCTCCCCAACAAGCATGTCGTAAGAGTCGACTAATTGGAAGCTTCCTTCGAAGTTGGAGTGCATCTGCCTGAGAGGCAAGGAACCAACAGTCTGCGCACAAATGTGTCAGATCTGTCGAACAGATGCACATGCAACACTTAGGTTCTGGAACAGAACTTTCCACCAGTTTACAGCTGGTGAATGCAAAGAAGAAGAAGAAAAAGATTAAAACTGGAACCAAAGATTGAAAAATAAAAATATAAAATGAAACTGTTAAGTCAGTGCTGTTGAAATTGGAGAACAACTAACATATTGCTAATAAACTACAAACGTTTACTAACTGTCCTGTGCAGAATAGATTGAAGTAAATGGTATGATAGAATCACTGGTATTGAACTGGGAGAGAACTAAACAAATTTAAGTAAATCAAGAGCAGAGATAAAACTCCGACATTGGACAGGACACATTGAGAAAACATGGTAACAGTTTAACTATAGTTTCCTTGAACTGGAACCAACATGTTTAAAGGACTAAAGGCAGACCAGCCAGACAGAGAAGAAAAACATGGGGAGGACAGGGATAAGCTGTTTGCAATAGCAAAGGGTATAGAATGGCCTGGCATGACTTGGTTGAGGGCATATGCTCCACTGGGGATAAAGGGACCTTTTCCAACACTTCAATAAATTGGGCATATAGGGCTAGATCTATATTTTAAAGACCAATCGGCACTCTGCGGGTGATGTGGTCAGCTTCGTGCCAGTCGCCTTTACCCCCATGAATTTACCTGGTACCCATTTAAGGCTGGGTCGATCCTGGAGCCAATGTAATTGTTGGAGAAAATTCAGTCAGTTAGAATTTGAACCTACGATCTTTGGATCTGCAGGCGAGCACCTGGCTGCTAAACCACTGCTTTTTCCCACTGGGAATAAAGCACAGAAGAAAAAGAACAAGAATATTTAATTAAGACAGCCATGGTGGTGTAGTGGGAACACACCTGCCTTTGTCCTAATGGTCGTGTATTGAATCCTATCTAGGCATGACTTGAAAAATTAATTTTCACTTCTAAATGAACCCAGCATTAAATGGGTACCTGGAAATGTCCTGGAAAGGAAAGGCAACTGGGGTGATGTCACATCATCCATCTAGTGTTTATTAACTCTTTCGGTACCAATAGTTTGTTACAAGGGTATCTCAGGTCTCGTATTCTGTTCGTTCTTTGACTCCGTTCTCAAGCTGAAATGTTCTTGTGTTGAAGCAATTTTCTCCCATTGAAATTAATGCAGATCCAATCAATCCGTTCTTCCTACCCTAGAAACAGATTGCTTGTTCACGTTTTTATAGATTTATGTACGACAAATATATATAATATAAAATATACAGGATAACTTTAGCTTTGTGGTTGATATTTGCTGCCACAGGTAGAGAGAAAAGGAAGACTACACTACTCCTTCGAAGGAGCGTTCCATTCTATAATAGAATCAGGAAACTATATATTTCTGCCATTTTATTTTGTCTGGTTTGTATCTGGTAAGACATGGACTTCGTGGTCTCGAGGCATGGTGTCCGCCTCGAGTTCTAGAGGTTCCGAGTTCAATCCCCGGTAATGGCTGGTATTTTTTCACGTGGACTCGGACTTCTAGTATTTCCCCTGGTCTCCTGGTAGTGAGATCTGACGCCCGTGTGCACTGTTGCGCACGTACAAAAAATCCCTTGGCAGTTTAAAATCGAAAAGAATAAGTAGCCTAACGGCGGGCAAAATGTGAGTTTAAAATCTACCCAAAATATGTCAGGATCCTTGCCAATGCTAAAGAGCTTATGCTGAGCTTCTTCGGACTTCAGTTGAAAGAAAGATTGGAGCACTTAAGGGTGTGCCATGATGCTGATTCGTTGTTCAAACTTCAAACTATCTGGGAAGTGGTTTGATTGATGGCACGGTGGCAGATCTTAGTTTTAGACATGCATTGCTTTACCATATCAGAAACACGAACACCATTCTGAAATTAAAGTAGTATTATCTTAATAATTTCTACTTTAATGCACTTAGGCGCGAGTCCCGCAGCTTAAGGATTTGGGGCCGTCTTATTTAATCGAAACGAACTGTACTGATTATTATTTTTATGGGAATCTCCGATACAGAACCCTGAGACAAGACAATGTCACTGAATGAGACCGTCTGACTGACTGACTGACTTTCTACCCCTGTCATAGCCCTGTGGGACAGAGTATAGACAATACGACGTGTAACTGCATGTTTGTGTTTGACGGACCAAAAAGTGCACCATGGCTCAGCCAGTTGATTTGATGATAGGGGAAAACCCGAGATGCTTGAACACTGGTGCAACGTACACGTTTGACCTTGAGCTGAACGGAGAGAGGAGACGGGTTAGAATGGACGTGTGAGGATGAAGACATTTTGGAGACGTGATTGTATTTTTTTTGTTAGGAAGTGACAGATAGGTTGTGTTAATGTTGTCGTCGTATGTGTTGGTTAGCTGTTGTTATTCCTCGTGTGCTTGTAGTATGCTAAGACAGTTGTGTTGGGGTTGTACCATGTTTAGGTAGGTGTTCTTGTCCCTGGGTTATTAGGGGTTACCTGCGTCTTGTGCTGTCGTTGACATTGTCCGCTAATATTTGAACCACTCACCCTGCGTGTGCCACCGAGTCTCGCATGGCGAAGATCGTAGCCTAATTGGCGCTGCACTACAGGAGGTGGAATCGTGTCCTCTGGTATATCCATGGGAATGGCCCGGGGTGGATAGGTAAATATAACTGCTGCCACTGCCCGGGGTTTCGGATAAGGGACTGTCCATAACTGTGGAGATTATTGTAGGTTATATTGTTCTTTGGTCATTAAAGATGATGTGAGCGCTCCATATGCGTGTGTTTTGAGTGTGTTCTGGTTTAGTGTGTCTGTCACGGGGGCCATACATCGAGCCCTAGTTCAGTA